CCCCCCCCCCCCCTCTCGACGTGCACGCCTGCTTTCATGTCTCAGGCGACCTTGCCCGGAGCGGCCTTGAGAGAGCTATTCCTTCTCAACAACGCGGAGTACGTCCTCGCAAATGCCAAGGTGTGTGCGATTGTCTTGGTGCATATGGGTCTGCACGTGCGAGCCCTCTCTTGCTGGTGCACGGTTCTTGGCATTCTGCGTGTCCGAAAATACATCTCTATTGGTGCTGCTGCTTTGTGTGTGCGTGAGGTAGCCAGAGACACGAAGCGGTGGCTTGTTGGAAGCGGCAACCCCTTTCACGTGGTCCAGGCCCACTTGTGATAGCGAATCTGTTTTGGGAGGGCTTTGCGGCGGTACGGCGGGGGTGACAGCGTGGGGAAGATGCTTGACGACGGGAGGCTGGTGTATTGTAGTAGCGCGTACCCGGAATGGAGGGTGTAGAGACTACGGTTGCCATGACCAGCGGACAGATTCGAAGCGCCTGGGAGGGCGAGCACTTATGATTGCGGCACTTGGTGGAGGTTATACCCGATGGATGAGTCGGTGGTAACGTTGTGCTCGGGCCCCTGAACTCAAAGTCCTCCATTTGGCAACCAATCGTTCTATCCCTTTCTTGCCCTTCTTGCGGATGGGCTCTCGAACCAACCGGCACTTACGGTAATCGCAACACCAACACCTCAATATTGACCTGAACGACACAGATGCCTTTTTCGGGACTGGCCTTGAACAGTCCCGGCACAGCCCCTTCGCCAACGCCTGCGGAGGAGTTCCGGTCCATCTTTGGTGAAGCCCCCTCGGTCAGTGCCGCCGACGGAGCTCGGAGTCCACGGGGTGGGGGAGTCAAGTGAGTATCACGTCCTGATTGTTGTTGTTGTTGTTGTTGTTGTTGTTGTTGTTGTTGTTGTTGTTGTTGTTGTATAGTTGTCGTTGATGATGGCGATCTTGTCTTGTTGCTGTGGATGGATCTTGTCCAGCCTATAGAGTTGCGTGGGTAGGTGGCGCCAAGATCACAGCCCGACGAATAAAGCCATGCGCTCTTGAGGAACACCCCGCACCCAACCAAGGAGCCCGAAGCACGTCCTCCGTGCAACAGCAGTCCCTTCGTTTCTCCGAGCGTAACGTTGGAGGCGTTGACATTTTCGCCGTCCACCGACTCCTACGCCGGTCACCGCCTACCAACTTGCCTACCATGCAGGCCGAGGTCTCCGAGGAAATGGGGCTTTGGAGGTTTCAAGAGCAAGGACGCGGTGAAGAGGGCGGCGGCGGCGCGGTCGCTTGCAGAAGGGCTGGTGGGGCCGGACGCCGGGGATGACGAGCTGCAGGGCCTTTGCATCGCCGACTTCATGACGGAGAGCATGTCTTCCCTGCTAAAAAGGTGCGCCGGCTTTGGCTTGTAGGTTGCCGCTCTCTTTTTTTCGTACACGGACGTGTTTTTTATTTTTTCCTTGGGACTAAAACATGGTGGAACTAAATACCGTCGAACGTTGAGTTTTCCGTCCGGAAGGCGCTGTTGCAGACGGGTGGTTCGTGTGCGCGGAGTGTGTGTGGGTTGTTTTGTTAGGGGCAGGAAGACGCGGTTAGGCCTTGTTTCTGTCCTTCCGAAGATGAGGCGATTTCTCCATGCACCTGAGCATCGCCGACTCAAATCTTGAAGACATGCAGGCATCCCAGCCAGCGCCTTTCAAGCTGATCAGTTCACCATGCCTTCGCTCCTCCGTAAAGACCGTGCCCAGGCCTTCCGTTTCGGCACGGATGGTATCGCGCTGCACCCTACGGATTTGGCTGTGTCCTCATTACTGGTAGCTGTGGTGCAAGCCAAGTACCCGAGGGTTGTGCTCTTGTTTGTGTCTAGCTATCATCATCCGAAATTCGTCGAACTTCGTTCCGATCAGGCTGGTGCAAGAAAAGCAGACGGGCTACATGGACACCCTCATGATGCCTCTCACGGAGGCGGCCAAGGACGATGTCGGGGAACTCAAGTGAGAGTTCTCGCGGTTGCAGTAGGTGGTCATTGTCGGCTGCTGCTCTTGAAGTCGTGGGAGACTGAAGTTAGAGAGTGATGAGATTTGTTGGGACAGTCAGCGTGATCACCCCCCCCGTTTTGACACCAAGCGTGAGTCTATTGTCTTCCTTGTTATAAGCTTGTATCCGTTGTGTCCTTTTGTGTTAGCACCAGGAGGACGTACCTATGGCTTGGACCCCCCACAAAGCAGATGCATCAAGCATGCAAATGCGGCATTGGTAGGTAATGTCGGGGACCACGGGTTCGATTGACCGTACGATTGAACTACGTCATCCTCTTTGCTTGAGATCTTTATCCAATTTTCTTCGTTGAGGCGTGTGGTGTTGATATCATCTTGCTCTGTTGCCAGGTACCAGCGGGGCAAGCTCCTTACGCTGGATTGCGGGCGCTTGCTGAAGTCCAAGTTCACCGCCTTCAACGAGAGCTGGGAGGAGGTAACTTTACGCCGGATCGATCTTTGGTGGGAAGCTAAAACTCACATGCTCTCTGACGGGGGGCTCCCTGGTGGCTCTGTGCAGCAAGTCATCGCAGCCTGGAGTTCCCCTGCTGGTCCTTGAAGACCTAGTGGTAAACGACCCCGAGATTTGGTGTATATCCAAATGACGCTCGAAGGCGGTGATGTCCATACGATTCGGGTGCTATGATCTCAACTGAGAAGATGATGCAGGGCCGACGGCCCGGTGGGCATCCATCCGCACCCGTTTTTGTTTTCGAAATGGTGATCTCATAAAGTTTTGGATGCTAAATATACTTGCTTTGACTGGGTGGGACTCTTCGCATCGTCTGTCTGTTGTCGTCTGTCGGGCCGTTCGGCACGCAGGTGTACCACTCGCAGCTGCCCGTGTCCGTGGTGGACCCCAGTCGACGGGTCAAGCTCAAGGAAGAGGCCAAGGCTAGGTGTCTCGTCCCGTACAGGTGGGTGGTGAAAGCGCTTTTCTCTTTCGATAGCTTCTGTGTGAATTGGCACTCGTCGCTCCTAGAGTTCCTCCAAGGGCGGTTTCATGTGCGCACGGGCGCATATCCGGACAACGAGGGGATGGCTGTCGAAGGCAGGGGTTCATCTCGGCAGCCTTGTGAACCGAAAGGTACCGGGGTGAGAGTATCCGCCTGACCGTTCCCTCCTACCCGATCAGCATCCAGGGAAGACGTCGTCAGCGAGCTGCATGCTGCCGCGTACTGCGCGTCCCTCAAACGCATGTTCTTATGACAGTTGTCCTGCAAGAAGGAACAAGCCACTGAACGAACCGTTTTGACGGTGTGCTTTGTGCCTCAGTTCGAAAGTGCCCACACCCCCGCGGAGTCTCGCTGCAAATGTCACTACGCACGAGTTTCTTGCACACGCGCCGCCCGCGAAACATCGACGACCACATCGTCCGCCGCTCGCCACGGCCGGCAACGCTGACGTTCAGCCCCTACATTCCTCCTCTCAGTTGAATTTCACTCCCCGTACCCTTCTTGCCTGCCCTCCTTGCCGTTGAATTCACTCCCCGCGCCCTTGTCCGCTGCGGTGCAGAGAGCTCTACTCAAAGTACCACGATGTGCAGTTTAGCAAGAAGCACCAGGAGCAGTACCTGAAATACTCGCCGGATGCCATCGACCAGGGCATCAGCCAGCTCTTTTCGGGATAAGTATCTCGTGCGTCATCGGAGAGACGCGCGTTGAGGCCTGAACAAAACAACAGGAGTATAGTTGATTTTTCGGATGGCGAGCATGGGTATTGTCGCTATTGAGCTTGCCCCCGGAGGAGCATGCATGTTTTTTTCTCCAGGTGCCTTCGATGCCGAGAGGTCAGCCAGCTCATGTTACAGGACTAGAAGCCTGTGTATGTGCGAAGTTTTATCAACAGCAGTAGACTCGTTGTGTGATTTTCTTGTTGGAGATATGGGTTTTCGATGAGCTGATTCCGCGTGTTTGCTTCTAGATCGGAGCTGTTTTTAGGGTTTTGAGGCTTTCACGTAAGTTTTTACGAGTACCCTCGTTCGCAATTCTGGTTCTCAAGCACGGCCGTGCTCGTTGTCATCGTGTAGGTACGACACAGTGCGTTTTGGAGCAGGGAATTCGCGTTGTCTTGTTGCCAAGGCATTGGTCTGAAGCACGAACTTACCCTGCCTTCCGCCAATTGTTTGTGTTTCACATCCATTACTTAATCGTCAGTGCCGAGCCACTACAGGACACACGGACAGACAGGCGTGGCGGTAAATGGGAAAACGTTTTTCTGTGTCTGAGGGATGAGTAGAGGGTACCACCCGGCGGATATGGAAGAACAAGGCGTTGTACCTTTTATTTTTCTCTGTTTTTGTTTTTTATTGCGTGTGCCCTGCCGGGGCAGATAAGTTGTGACCACGGAAGGCCGCGACAGCTGGACTGGCGCAGATGTTGGAAGGTATGGGGCAATACGTGCGGCAAGGGTCGTTAACACCTATCTGTGAACCACTCCAACGCCAGCGGGGGAATAGTAAAGTTTGCACTTGAACCGTCCCGCGAACAACTCATCGCAAGACGTTAGCGGCCAAGCGTTACAATGTAGACAAATCGTATCCTACAGGCACCCGCCGCCCTTGCTCCGAAGACACTATTTAGCAGCGTTTGATGTGCCCCCATCTGCAGATGTGTAATTTGCCTAAAGTCACCTCGTGCTGGGCAGCGAACCCTTCCGAAAGGATGACGACGCAACAATACCTGTGAACTCATGCAGGACAACGTTGGAATTAGGAAGGGTTCCAGTTATCATAGCAGGTTTTCGTTTCTTTGGTGTCGTTTGGGTTGTGATTCCCGCGGAGGTTTCGAAACCAAGCAAAGTTTGCGCAGACGCCTCACCGCTAGATCGTTAAAGTAGCTTCTGTTGTGTCCGACAGTCCCATGTTAGCGGAGGACACTACTGTAATAACTCAACTCATCTCTCGACCAACGATCCCCTCGTTCTTCATGTCTTACACCTCCCCCGTACTCCTCACACACAACCTCACCCACCTGCTCCGCGAGTACATTGGGTTCACACACCAAAACCTTATCTTTCAACTATTTCAACGGTGAGAGGCAGCATAAACCGTATCTACAGCAGCTTGTGTTTCTCTCTCCCAAATAATTCGCATTGGAATGCCGCGAACCGAACGAGCTGTCGCTTACCGTCTAAACGTCGGTGATGTTTTAGAAAGTAAACATAACCTCACAGCAAGACTACCCGTTCGAGTTATAACCTCAGTCGAAAGGGATGCGGTGATGTTGACACGTGGATGGATCTCTTCGGCAGCAATAATCAGACCAGCCCTCGCGCACGCATGTGCACGCTCCTCTCTCTCCCGGTCAATGTTTCGTGTACAGGGCGCAACGTTCGCGACCATGGGACGCGGTCTATTTCCGCTGTTTATGACTGGCGCTCTCGGGGTTGCCCTCGGATCGATGAAAATTATAGCGGGTACCTGCAACGGAATCTGTTGGTATGTCCGTACTTGGGAGGAGAAGACACGCTTTAACTCTCTCTGATTAGGCACCCGCGGGAGCGAGGAAAGGAAGGGAAGAAGTGGCCCTCCCGAATTCGGGGAAGGGGGCCCACACATAGTAGCCTTTTTCAGGCATACGCTTGCTCCTGTCTACGTACCCCCCCCCGTGCTGCTAGCAGATCTACCATGCTCGTATCCAGACACACGAACACCCTCCCCGGTTCGTCAAGCTATTGACAAACCATCAGTGGGGCATGGATACTCCAGATCTACTTAAGTTACTCATACAACAACGGGTGCAAGGGAAAAACTCGGCCATCCGGATCAAAAACCCTCGCCTACAAACTCAAAACATAAAAGAAACCGTCGCTATCACGAAGGATTCCAACGGCCGCACTATCAGGGCAGGACCAAGGCAGGACAGATTGGACAGGCCACGCTGATTACACACCCGAAGCAATTGGTCAAAAACCCTGAGCTCCCGCCGCGGGTGACGCCCCTGCCCAACGCTTCCTGCGTGACATACCATGGTCCGAGACGCGCCCAGTGCTAGAACAAAACAAAACAAACGCCACGAAAACGAGACCAGAACCCTACATCGGCAGGTTCATCAGAGCCTTCCGGTGGTACTCCAACTTGCCCCGACCAAGGACCTTGGTCAGCATATCGGCGTGCTGCTCTTCTGTCGAGACATA